ATGCCAGTGAGTTTGCTAAGGTGCTGAAATACAATTAACAATAATGTGGCCAATAAAATGTGTAATCTGTTGAGCCATGCTGTTAATTAGTCCCTAGTTTACTTGAAGCTCAAGTTATTCATTACATAAAATACAGATTCCATTAGGATCTGTCACTTTTATTTTAAACAATTTCTTATATCGTAGTTAATGAAATTCAAGGAAAAACTATTTCTGACTATGCAGTATCATTATCTTTGTAACATTAAGCTTGCAGCTGAAATATGTGTACATGGGTCACTGAGATGTGCAGAATTGCAGAGAATGCATTGGAAAATATGTATATGACATTCTTGTTCTTGAAAAATATTACAGTTATTTTGCAGGTATATACTGATAATTATTTTGTAAATTACATATCCTAAGCTGTAATTTCTTACACTTCTCTTTCAGTATAATAGTTTGGAAATAGTTTTAAATTAATGTAGTATGGTTAATTTGCATGTTTCTTGCAGGGCATGAAATGAAGGACTGTATTGGGGTTGCCAGAGAACTCAGTGGTACAAATGATGAAGTATCACCTACTTTTGCTGCTGAAGTGGAATTCATATTTGTCCGTCTCAACATTCTTCGGGAGTATTTGGAAAGGGAACTGGAAATGCCCAACCTTCCTTTCAAATATGATTTTGAACGAGCAGTAGATGACTGGGTTTTTATGTGTTTCTTTGTGGGGAATGATTTCCTACCTCATTTGCCATCACTAGAAATCAGAGAAGGAGCCATTGATAGACTTGTCAATTTATACAAGAAAACTGTTTACAAGACTGGAGTAAGTAGCATTAAATGTTGTGTTCATACCATATACGGTATTATGCAGGAACATCTGAAAAATATCTTGGGTCATGTAGTTCAGTTATTTTTGTAAAATCATATTGATATCACTGAAAATTAGAAAAGATACAAATTTTCTATAAAGGATTTGAAGTTCTCACAGTAGTGGTTGTGGAGAGATTCTTTCCTTTGGTGTATAACACCATATACTCCGATGAAAGTCAACTGATGTGTCAGAGGAACTTGTCACTTCCATCTTCATAGTTGAAGTATAAGCCAGTCAAGGAGCTTTACTTGCTGCCTGCTTCATACTGTTTTCTTGCATGACCTACTCTTCAATGCTGAAGATGAAGGCAACATGTTCCTTTGAATTGTCAGTTGACTTTCAGCAGACTTCTTGGCACTATAACCCAGAAGGTAGAACTCTTCAAATTTCTATAAATTGAGCTGATTTCCAAGTTTTCAACATGCAGCTCTCCATTTCCTGAGGAATGCAAGGTGTGTGGGCCCCTGGCAGTCCTCATTATGAGGCTAGAATTTCACTTGCTCTGAATGCCTAGACCTCCTTAGACTGTTTAGTATCCTGAAGGGTGGATCAACACAAGACATTCCCACGTAGCTCCATACCTCCACTGAACTGTGGGAACCAATCCAGAACTTTTCTTTGCATTTATCCTTAAACCTAATTCAAATCTAATTTAATTTATTTGGAGTCTTGGGCAACCAGTTATGAATGTAATTGTCACACCCTAAAACGTCTATGTATAACACAGCCCGTCAATAATGCAACAAAGTGTTCCTTTTTCTTCCACTTAATGTTTCAGCCCTAGATGACCATCTTCAGGTGTATTAATATATTAAAACTGCTACACTGCATTAATATGCGCTAGAATCACACACTGTAGTCCACTTAATTTAATAAAATAAAATCCATTAAAATTTTCTATTAAAATTTTTTTTCTTTACTTTTGTGAAATTCTACTCCACCTCACAAGGGGTGTTGTCCACTTGTATTGAACTATACGTTTATCTCCAGGTGTTTTTATTGCAGTGGCTTATTTTTTATGTTCGTTAGCCCGTTGTTCTGTTATGTCTGCAATCTGTAATCTACAAAATGCCGCATGTTAATATTGCTTTTTGATTGTTGTTATTAATGTTATGTTGGTTTACTTTGTACTCACATGCCCTCTTGCTTGTGTGTTGTTCCTTCTAGCAGCATGTGGTGTGTTTGCTTCTGTGTCTATATGCCATGGTTGTGAAGAGTTGGGAGAAGTGGGGGAGGGTATAGTGTTTCTTTTGTGTAGAAAAACTCTTTGGCTTTAGTCCATAAGCGAACTATACAGACTGAATGACCGCCGCTTGTCAGCGAAGTTAGTGCCAACTTTAGCAGATAGAGGGTGTCGTGTGGTCAGCGCAATGAATCCCCATGGCCGTTAATTTCGTTTTTCTAGAACGGAGCCACTACTTTTTGATTCAAGTAGCTCCTCAGTTGTCCTCACGAGGCTGAGTGGACCCCGTTCCAGACCCACTACTGCTCAGAAAAAATCTAGTAGCACCAGGAATCGAACCTGGGACCTCTGGGTCTGTAGCCAGGAACTCTGACCACTAGACCACAGAGGCATTTTGTATAATTCTTCAAATATAGGATTCTCTGTATCAGTATTAGTGACATTTAATTGTAGATTTTGCTTACTGGTTTTGTAAATATGATACTTCTCAAGTATATTAAAATATTTTCCTTTCCTCTTTGTTGTT